TTTACCCGTAAACCCAGGATCATCTCTGGTTCCTTGGCAGTATTTACCTATAGCCTCTGCTTTCTTGCTTGAATAGATTTGTTTTGGCGGTAAAGTTCCGAAGTCCTACTATCTCAACGATCAGTTCAACTTTGACAACATGAGCCAGGTGTGGGTTCCAAGTGGGACTGTGTGGGACCTGAAGTACCAAGTCACTGTGCCAGGCTCGGTGTTAAAGTAAGCCGACAAACAAGTTTGTGGAAAACAGTTGTGGATAATTTTACATCTTTGCTAAATAGCAAAATGCATTCAGTTGTTAGCACACATGGCTGATAACAGGCACCCACTTCCAATACACATTAAATGTAGATAATTATTACATTACACATTTGATTGGCTCACCTTTTTTTGTAGATTGCTTGACTTGAATGTATGATTGTCTCTTTTCATGCATTGAACACATTTCTACAAGCTTAGCTTGCAACAAGCGACTAAGGAGAGTCCCATTTCTGTACTCTCTCAAGCTTTCTTTGAATTAAAACCTCCCCCTCCATTTGTGCCACAGGTGGGAGTTTAAAACTGAAAAGTGCAATATTGGTTACGGAGTGTTCCTGCAAGTCGCTTCCCGTCCAAAGCAAGATGATCACAAGAGAGGGCATGGCAAAGCCAGGAACCATTCCTCGTCTTCGACATCGTCTGCCTCGTCGTCATCGTCGTCGTCGAGTAGGGATGGTTGCTACGACTTGATAGAGATGAGGCCGCTGGAGAAAGTGCATAGCGAGATGGTACCTGAGGCTGGGGGACTGAGATGTGAGGAACCTGGAACCTGTAAGTAGTAGTTTTTTTTTTAATCTTGAACTTGTTTGTATTAGGTTTGACAATTGAAAATCAAGATGTAAGGACATAAAGGAGCCTGTGACTTGTTGAAACAACTTATCTTGAACTTGATTTTGATAGAGGATCCAAATGCAAAGAATCTGGAACATTTTTGTAGCTTTCATAATGTGGAACTTGGTTATATTAGTCCTAATGGAGGATCAATATGTGAAGAACCTGCAACTTGTGAAGGGTACTCATTTTCTTGAGTTAGTTTTTATTAGTTTTGATGAAAGAGGATCAGTTTTCCACGTCAAGTCCTTCAGATAATCCTTTCATAGGCTTCAGTCTTTGATGCAAGGCCATATCTGAGGCTTGCACTGTAACCTCTGTTTTACTGTTCTCCCTTTGAACTGATTGATCTTTCAACGGCACAGATATTCTGAGGTTTGACAATACGTACAGCTGGCTGCGAGGCAAGCGGGTCTTCTACTCAGTGGAAGTCATGCTGCCTGCCGAGGAGTTAACCATCGACAAGAACCCGCCCTGATTCAGCCTGGAACCTTTTGGGGTCTGTACAAATCATGTCAACCTTGAATAAACAAATGTTGCACCCCCCCTTCCCATAAGTAGCACATTTTCATGGACAGGTATTGGAAAATTCATATCAAAAGTCCTGAATATATTGATCCATGAGTTTACACGAATCGTGTTTCTTGGAAACTCAGTGTTCCAATTTTTTCTGATTCTATACCGGAGTACAGGTCTCTGGAATTAACATTTTAGAATTTCCTTTTACATTTTGAAAGGAATCAAACGTTATTACCAATATGACTGATTTCTATTCTAGTCTTGTCACGGTACGCTCGGCGTTACCCAGAATCTGAATTCTCTGCCGAATTTCAACTCTACCGTAAACACAGCATGCCCTATTCCTCATGTACATGTATACTTTGTATCTGGAATACAAGTTTTCTGAGAATTTTTTGTTCTGGTCTTTCCGTTTTGCATTGTGAAAGGAAAAAGAGTTGTCAGTGCAAATTACTTTTAGGTATGCCATCAGGTTGTGGTCAGTCTTTGCCTCAAATTTTCAGTTTTCTGGAACTGTTGGAGTTTTTGTACTCCGTATGATTCACATTTGCAAATTTGGTTAAATTTCCAGCCCCTACGCGTTGCATACAATCACAGGCTGTCATTTGGTTCGGCCCAGAAAACCAAGTATCAAGTGACTAGGCCCTAATTATCTTGTCGGAAATGGAAGTCTTTTCCTGTGGATTTCAGATCTGAAAGTAAAATGTTTTTTAAATTTTTTTCAAACTCGTTATTTCTAAAATACTCGCAGTGACTGCATGCTGGGATTAACTGCAGACCCTTGGCTTTGAAATCAAAACAGATTTTTAAAAACTGTAGCAAAGCAATAAACTTTAACCACTTGCTGCCGGGCGGTTTGAAAAATGCAATGCACATAATCAGGACTTTTTCATGAATTTCAGTTTTCCAAATTCTTCAAAAATTCATTATTTCAATTAATGGATGTTTACACCCACACGAATGTGGTGATCCGCTCGCACTAAATGCCCCAATCCGTGGTATACTGTTTCAAAACAAGACTACGTTTTCTCCACTATTGAGAGTGACAAAATGTCGGTAATGCCCAGCAGCCTGGTTGGTCTTTTGTGACAAGGCCCAGTGCCCTTTGTCCAATTTTAGAGACCCCAGCCACGCTTATAAACACACGGTGCCCGAGACTGGGTTCCTCGGCAGGAAATGGTTAAGTTAAAAAAAGATATGGAGGCTCAAATTTATAATTTGTAGGAAGGACAAGACTGTGACCCTACAAAAAGCAATATTTTCGGTGTGAGTGATTCCTCAGCAGTTCTGAGGTTAGAATAAGAGTTGTTGGCATTCCTGGTGGGTAAATTTTTTTCTCTTTTTGGCAGAAGTTATTGGCATTTGTTATCTTCTTGCCATAAAGGCATGAAGTTTGTCTGGTTGAACTTTAGTTCTGAAGGTCAAAAGGTCATCTTAAACCTCAGGGCCCTGGTTCCCCACTTTGCTTTGTTAATATGTGCATCTCTCGGCAACCAGTGATACAACTAACCTCATTTGGCTGGTACCGAATCGTCGTCTAGTCTAGTCTAACCTTAAGCAGCTAGTGTGTCAGGCATGATTGTTAGACTTGTTTCAGATGTGATTGTGGGAGGAATCTAGTAGATGTACAAAGGTCAAACAAGGCCCCCCCCAAAAAAGAAAAAATCACACAAAGCAAAATTTGGAATGAATCAGTTCTGGCCGTAGCAGTAAGGTACTGACAAGTATTTTGAGTACATGCATTTCAGTTTATAACAAAAGTTTTCACTGTTTTCTCACTTTGGACCAGCTGCAGACAGGCAAACTTGCTCTTCCTTGGAAATCGATTCCAGTCGCTGCTACTTTGTAGTTGCGACGAATGCCATGCAATATCCACGAACACTTCTTGTCGACTGGACTTTTGTACCAATCTATTTCTTGGTTTAAGATACAATAATTGTATACTGCACTATTTTCTAGAAATCTATGAAAAAGAATTGTCTTTCACTCTTAAATTACTATGGAAAACTACATGTTTAAATATACAAAGTATTTTTCAGACAGCAGGTTATTTGAAAAGTTATAGCTCTATTGTAGATTTGGTCTATTGAAACAGGTATATATATGTATATGAACAATTTTATAATATATTATGATAAGGAAATGTTCCGAAGTTGAAATTATGAATTGAAACTGTTGCTTGGTTATATGAATCTCGGCTTAGATTTGGACAAGATCATAGTTCATGCCAGTTTCGGCCAGTCAACAGAGAGCGCATTCCAACTTATTAATATGCACACTGAACAGAAGTCAACCTATGTACATGTACACTAGCGTTGTGGTACCTGATTGTTTTTTTCGCTCACTGTCAATATTGCTTGTTACATGTACATTAGTTTATTAATTATATACATTTTTTTGCCACAAAAGGTGATGCTGATATGAAAGTTATATTAAGGCCAATGCTGGAATGATTCCTACATAATTATGTAGCAATCAAAAACATCATTCTTTGCTTTAGCGTACACGGCATAATACAAGTAATTATACATTTAAAAAAGGGTTTTACTCCGACCAGATACCACATAAAGCATATTACTTCTACATTTAGAAATGCCAATTATCCTTCGTTTAATAGACCAATTGCACCTGCTGAGTCCCGTGACCTATAGTGGGTACTTGTATATAAAATAGAAAAAAAAATGGCATCTTCCCATAGCAACATGGTTTTAAGTGGTGTTTCCACCAAACAAAGCTGATTTCGTCAGTAGTCTGAGTACTGGACCGTCCGTCGGCTTTATTTTTTTTGTAAGTGACACTTATGATGACACACTTTGTTGTGGGGGACAGCCATGTTTGTTGACATTCAATATCCACTGTGGGTCACGTGACTTATTGGGCGCAAGCGGTCTATTCACTTGTAAGTTTTGTCTTTTGACTACTGTTACATTGCTTGTGTTCCTTGGATGCCACAGAAATTACACTTGAGTATTTGAAGCCAGTAAAATGACTGTGGATTTTTGGAAGACTGGTAGTATTTTGGACTGGACAAACGAATGTTTGAATAATATTTGGTGATCTTGGTTTTGCAACAAATGGCTCTGACAAACAGGTACACATGCCGGAAAAATAGGAATTGGAAATGAGTTAACCTTGGATTGTAAATTGAATTTGGTTAAAATATGAATTTTTCTTTAAAACCGTCAAATTGTTTAGAGGAGAAAATTTTCATCTTCTCTTGAGCTGAAAGCGGTTAGGCCTTCTATTTGTACTAAATTTAGGTGAAAAAGACATTTCTCCTAAACACTGGAGCAATAAGTGTTTTGCAAGTTAAATTTGAATAAAATCTGGTACACTGTGTTTTCTGATTGCGCATTAACATAACAATTTTAATTCCCCAGACTAGAGACACTGTTGCTATACCTCATGATTTGGGGCAACTTTTGCATAGCGACCACCATCTCTGGAATGGACTGGTCCCCTCTGTGCCTTTCTTATCCATTTCAAACAGTGTATTGGTGCAAGGCGTCTCTTATGTAACTAAGGAAAGGCTTGCCCCGAATCATGAGGTATAGCAACAGTGTCTTTATTATGGAGAATTCAAATTGTTATGTTGACGTGAATTTTAAATGTTACTCACAAATGCCTTTTGCAAAGGGTTAACCTTACTATTTTGTTTAATTCCAATTTTCTCCAAATCATTCAGACAGCTTTATGTGGCAGATTTTTTTTATGTTTCTAGAAAGAAATACAGCAATATAGCTTTTGGAGAGAAATAAAACAGCGAGAGGTTAACCTCGTATTTCCTTTTAAGAAATGGATGATATTTGAGGTTAATCCCGGAGCCTCTATGAGCTCCTCAGACCCTGCCATCTCAAACTCAGATTTTGGCCGAAAATATTCTAAGTCCAAACAGTGGAAGGTTTAACACTTGGAAACAAGCACACTTTTTTCAGGAAAGGGCCATGGCATAGTGGTTAGGGAGACTGACTGCTATGCACAAGGACCTGGGTTCAAATCCAGGTGGGCATGCAAAATTTTGCTAAAAAACTTTTATATGTATCATTAAAAAAAAACCTCCTTTTCCAGGGACGCCTGGCAGTCAGCAAGCTTGCCCACAAGGCCAAAGGTTTCTTAGAAAAATAGAGCTCGGAACTTATATTTAAAGGTTAGATTGCGCAATTTCAAACAGAGAACACTTCCTAGACCAAACTATTTACATGCATTTAAATAACAAAAGCAGACAAACTACTATGTAAACAGTAACAAGTGTACAAATAGACATTTCGAGAGACAAAAAAAAGGTTCAAGTTGCATACAAAAAATGGCCAATATTTGAGCTCGCAGAAATGCCATTTGAAAGAAATAAAATGGCAATAGGTTAACCTTGCATTTCTTCTCAATGCCAGTATTTTTGACATTTGTTTTTCAGAAAGACACACTAAGGGGTTAGCCTGGCTTTTCTTATAAATATGAATTTTGTCGAAACACTAACATCAACAGGAAAAAAATGAAGGGTTATTCTTCAATTTCATATTTACATGGAGATCTAAATATAAATATACAGGGTTTTCATCTCTCAGAAATGAGAGATGAGATTAAGTCTCTCAGAAATGATTTCTAAAGGTAAATACTCATCAGAAAATGGCAAGTTGTAGCCAACTATTTTGTTAAATTTGGTCAAAATTTGAAATTTTACCTTTGACTGTTTTTTTCATCGATCTCCTTGGACTGACTTTTTAAAATAACAGTTGTAAAAAAAGTTTTGGGGCTAAACTATAGTTATCTGCTCAGAAAAAAAACCCTAAAAAATAGCGCCAAAAATTTGGGATTTTGTTATAAAGCAGTCTGAAACCATGTTTGAAAAACAAAATTAGCTTGGGGGTAAACCTTTCATTTCTTTTCTAATAAAAAAAAATGGCCAAGCATCCCTTTCTACCAAAAATGCAAAACAAACGAGACAATTTAGACAATGTTTATACGTTTTAAGTAGTGTAACATCAAAGAAGGAAACTACGTGAGCGAGGCTTCTAGTTGCATCCAAAAACCATGCCTTGCCTAGCATTACAAACCAGTAATGCGCAATATCTAGAATGTAAATATATCTCTTTATTGTAACAAAAACTCTGATGCTTATCATGAAATGATATACTTCCACACCGGCAAATTGGCAATTTGGAAGCTGGCAAATGAGTCTGCCCGAGATTTACCCCGAACAGAGAAAAAAAGAAATTAATTTGTGTGGCCAGAAGATTATGATATCAACGACAGATTGCAATGGAAAAAAGGAGGCATTTTGGAGAACTCAAAAGAAAGGCGCTGCGCAAAGATGAGTTAGTAAGTAATGTACTTCTGATTGTGTTTCGGCAAACAATTAATTTGCGTTATACTTAAAGCTTTGTGGAATTTTCATCTTCAGTTTTGCTTTTCTGCATTTTTTTTTACATGAGAACATAACGGTCTTCCACGCTGTTTGTCCCTTCAAAATATCCACAAAACACGCACAAAGTTAAACAGCGCGCATGTCCAAATATACACGCAAATAACCACAGCATAAACGGTGCAGAAAAGAGCTCATGCGATATAAATGAAAGCGAGGCGCATTCCAGAAAAGCAAATATCTCGGCTAGCGAACTTCAAGCACCAATAGTTTGAAGTAGAAAAATGGTACTTCCGTGTACATTCATATATTACTACAAATACCTGACATAATTATTACATATGATACAAAATATAGTGTCAATAAGATATTCCAAACTCCACCCAAAATTATTTTCTCCAAAGGAAAAGGTATAACCATGCAAATTGGATTGTTCTTAGAGGTTGCGCTCTGGAAATAGTTTCTGGTTTTGAATTCTGAATTCAGCAGAATGCCGTCAACACTCGAAGCCAAAGACTGCAATAATCCTCAATTATAGTGGGAAACCCACAAATCCTGTGTCACTGCTTTTTTGGGTTTTAACTTTATATCAACCAAACAAAACTGAGATGTGGCAAACATGAGGGTGCGTTTAAACTGTGGTTTGGGCTTGTGGTTTCACTGTGAAGTATCACGTTTCCGGGAAACCGACTATCCCTGCTCATATTTTTGGAACTTAAAACCTTGTGGTAAGCCATAATTAATGTTGTGGTAGGAACACACCCCCCCACCCTTACCATGTGCAGGACTAAACAAAAAAAAAGATACTTCTCATGGAAATGGTTATAGACATGATACACAATTGATCAGCATGATGACAATTTTAGGTACTGATTTTGGAAAATTACTTGACGGCATGCCGTTTGTTAATTTTGTTTTGGCAACAGGAAAGCTCAAAATCATTTCACCTAAGACACTGGGTACCTACAAACCTGATAAGAATTAAAAATCAAGATGTGTATAGGTCCATGTACTTGGACGGGCAAACTTGTTATCACTTTGGCCCAAGAGGTAGGCACATCTTCTACACTCTCCAAAATCAGATTTGTTTTGGTTACAAGCGAAAGATCCTGAATGGATTTTGTGTACGCTGGAATAAACATAGATGTACATGTACAAACTGGTCTAAACAGTTGGCAGATGAATGGCAAAATACTGAAATCAAGGAATTTTAGAGCTTGGAATTAGTAGATATAATTACGGAGAATAAAATGTTCTGTTGCAAGGTGTTCTGCTGGTTACGTGCTACTTCAAGACTTCAACACATTCTTTGGGATTATGCTGATTGCTTATCAAAGCTAGTTCTAGCAATATATCATTTATCAATACCCAAGAAATGAAAACTGGCCTGTAGTTTATATATAATCATAGATTACACTCTAATTGGCTGAATTAAAAAAAAAATGATAAAGTACCTCCTGGAATCGGTTGGACTTGCATTTCTTGAGCATTATTGGCCAAGTTTGAACAGTAACCAAATACGATTGGCTGGAGTAAATCCTCGCAAGAAGTTTCATCCACTCTGATTGGTTGGTCTCCACTTTACTGGTCAGGGATTGGCAAATCCAAGAACCCCTCTGCATTGGGATCCTTGACGGAGGAAATGTGTACGACAGAAAACAAACTTATTGAAAAGATACAGTTAAGTGTACATTTGCGATAGGCCGATGTACTGATGACGTCACACTTTGTTACCATGCACACTTCCCTTTGGAGCTAACTAGGGAAGAACTATGCATTTGTGATATTTTCATAACAGTATGTGGACACAGACCTCCAAATATACAGACAAAAGAGAGACAAGCGTTCCATCGCACTGATTTCCCTGATATTCCAAACAATATGAAATTTTCTGACTAAAAACCCACTTTGTCACTTCCCAATGGATTCTAACAATAAATCCTGAACTAAATTTACTTTATTTATTTATTTGGGCTCAAGAGTCCATTTTTCCCCCCATGAACAAAATGACTTGAGGGTTATAGCACTGGTGAACTCTGTGGGCACATATAGGCAAGTTGTGGATGTAGCTCGTGTTTGAACATACATGAAATGGAAGGGCAGTTGGATCTGAAATGCAAAGCACTTCTCAAACCCTTGATTACTTATCCTACCGGGAAGCTTAGAAAAAATTCTTTGAAACACTGCCCATTTTCAACTTGCCATTGGTAGATTTTCAGAAATTGGAGACAGTTTGCTGACTTTCAGTTTGAACTTTCTGGAGTTACCACACAACTTGCAATATCCGAAACATCTATCAATTTTGTTTTTTTCTGGTAATATGTTGTACCTACCTGTGGTGTTAGGGACTAGCTATGTGCAATGTTCTATGCGGCAGGCATGGTCCGGAGAAAAAAAGAAGCAAGATATAAGCAAGCAATGGTTAGTCATCGTCAGTCAACAACGAAACAATAATCCAGTAACCAACACAACACAAGCTTTTCAAACGAATAAAACACAGGAAAATGCAAGTGACAAAAACACTGGACATGTTAAGCAGTCTGCTAGAGTTATGATAGAATTGAAATGATTGTCAGATTTCATTGGTATCCATGATTGATTGGATTCAGGTTCAGGAACTTTCCTGTTGCAATGTAAAATTCACATCCATTTTATTCTTGAATAACAATCAGAACTATCATTTCTAGTTTGCAGGTTGTTTTTAAAAGAAATCTTGTCATGCCAATAAAGGAGACTAGAGACTAACAATGACATGCAAACAGAAAAATCCAGGATCAGTCATGCATTTGTATTAAACTCGAACTCAAATGTTACAAACATGACGGACAGGAAAAGGCTACATTTTTGCAAACACTACCCATCTAACAAGAGCACAGGAATTTTTCTGTATTAAAACAATGAAGGCAAGCAGAGGGCTCTAGATATAAAATTTGAAAGTGTAGCATCCCAAAAGAGAGAAACCACGCTGCGAATCAAAGACATTTTCCTTTTGCAGAAGGAGCCAAACACTTCGATTCAATTTCCCAGAAAGTATGCTTTTTGCAGAATAACCAATAAAAGCAATCTAAGACTCAAGAACAACACCACTATTAAATGCAGTCAAAGAAAGCGATGGGTGCAATGTTCCTCTTCCAGAAAAGCGATGGAATCTTTCTCACTGAGGTGAGGGGGCACCAAATGGCATTGAAAGTTGCAGAGAATTTGCAGAAACGGGCTAATATTGCCGTGCAACTCAGAG